ATTTTTATTTGTTTCATTTTAAACACGTTATATAGATTTATAACGCTTAATTGTGTTATTCAAAGTTTATAAAAATGTGATTTTTTATTGCAAAATTGAAGATAAGATTGTTTTAAATAAGCAATTTTTTAACTGTATATATATTTTTTTTCTTTTGAGGGAAGTTAATTAATATTTTGACTACACCATGAAAAGTAAAGGAAAAATGAATATCCCGTTTATGTTGATTTTTTTAAATAATGCTTTAGTTATTGGAGATAGACCTAGTCATTTGAAACTTCGGAAAGTGACGAAGAGGAAATCTGAGCTGGCATGTCCTTCTCTAAATTTCCACACTATATCAATGTTAGGTATTACATCCCGTTTGTGAAGGGGTTCACGCATCAAAATATGGTTTTAATCCAACTGTATTAAAAAATATGATTTTAATCCAACTTTATTTACAAATATGATTTTAATCCAACTTTATTAAAAAATATGATTTATATTTCTTTTTTTAAAAAAAGATGTCGCATGAATTTCGTGTTTCAGCAATTGTGAATTTGACATCTGAGAAAAATATAATTATTTTTTATTAATTTATATTTTTGATATTGTTTTGTCTTCATATATTTATATTTCTCTTGGGGCTTTAAGACTACACATCAGCATGGTGTGGAAGTTTGTATAGTGGGTTTCCAGCGCGTAAATCATCTTCATCACTTGAAGCTTTCTGAAATTGACGAGATCTGTCATCAATAGAGCCCGTTTGTTGTTCTTGAAGGCTCAAGATATTTCATGTTTAAGTATACATCGTTTAATAATTCTTTTTATTTCTAATGGAGCTTCGAATTAGTGATTTACCATTGAAGACCTAGTACATTGCCAGGGAGCTAGTATATCTTTTTAGTGTGGCACCATATAGGTGGAATACCGCAGGTAATTTTGGCATCCAGTTTCCTCCCCTGAGGAAGGCACCTTGAGCTCTGACGATGCGAAACTGTAGTTAGGAACTTAATTTTGCCGAGAGCACCCTCAAAGCAAACAGGCACTCAAGGGATCTCTTACATGCAGCATAATCATCATGAAAATCCACCGAATCTTGTCGGGGTCGAACCCAAAACAGGCGTACAAAAAGCAGTGAGAAATCAACAACGCCACAACTTTTATTATTTATCTTTTAAAATGTATTTATGTAAGTCTGAAAAAGTAGAATCTCCTTAATACGTTAAACGGTTTTCAAGAATGGCTAACTTTATACATTTACCCTGTAATAAATAAAAAGGAAAATTGATATTTTTTCCCGAAATACAAAATCTACTCAACTGTACATTTTCATATTGTCAGTTTTTCTATTTGTTGCGATAAAATTTTAATGTTTCTCATTAATCACCCCCGATCAGAATAAAAACTTTACAAATATTCACGGAGAAAATCCATTTCTTCGAACGCCAAGGTCTAAGTTCGAACTGCGAAAATTTGACACGACTTCATGACTTCGAGGCAAACATTCGAGAACTTAAATAGGTCACCGGCGCGTGAGAAAAGCTCAGGTAAGGCATTATGACCTTGGAAATGCAGAGAGGTATTCTTATTATTTAATCATCTGCCCGTGTGGGGGAGAATAATATGATTAATACATTAGATACTCAAAATGATTTTAGAAAGAACTTTGATCATTAAGTGCATTGTTCACTTAATAACATATTATATAAATTGCTGTGTAGATACCGAATGGTTAATCTGGTCAAATTATTTTTTCATTACCTGTATAGACTGAATAGAATATCACAGGAATTTAGAATACCTAAAACAAAAAACTTTACTTTGAGTTTTAATGAAATATATTTGAAACGCCTGGATTCTCGGTGTACCGTAAATTTCTCACTCTTTAGTGCATTTTTAATTACTTTTTGTTCAGTGGCGTACACAAGTGCTTCTCAAACTTTCAATATTTCTGACCCAATTTTCAATCATAATTTCCGCCTCCCCCATACATTAACAAGGAATTGAATGTAATAATAATGTACTATGACGCTGAAGTTGCAATACAACCTTAATTATACACCGTACACAAATATCAAGATAATTATTAAATTTTGTATATGTTACTTTTAAGTAATAGATATCTTAAATAAATTACTTTTGAATAATAATTTTTTAAAAAATCTTTTATTTTCAATTTTTTGATATGCTCGTGCTTTCATGTGGGGTTAGCATACCTCTAGAGCAGCGATACTCAACCTGCGGCCCACCGAGCCTTTTTAAGTGGTCCGGTCATGACCCATTGCTCTGAGAAATTTTAAGAACATTGCATTAAAAATTTGGAGGGAAATTCTTTGTCAAGAAATCAAATATATCACAATTTTGCTTTTTGCTGTCGGTGTTGTACGGGTACGAATTGATATTCCTTCTCTACTTGGAATGGTTATGGTTAGTGATAATATACAACTGTGGGATAGCTACAATATTACGGGTGGAATTAATTTTTAGCTATCTTTCTTATCTTGCAAGCGAAAAATATTCGAAGAAAATATGTCGTTTCCAGACGATTGGGAGGTTAACTATTTTGTAGTGAAAAAAAAAACATGCATCTGTAATTGTTTGATTTGTCACGAAAGTGCTGTATTTAAAAAAACAGCAATAAACAGGAATCATTCAATGACACTTTTCCTCGAAGATCTCTTTTAAGAGGCGTCAATAGGATTCCTTGAATAGTCTTTGGAACAGCAACTAAGTGCTTCGTCAGTGGTAATATCACAGCGGTAACAATGAAATTGATTATCTTATGAAATCGTTTATTGATGCGAAATTGTGAAGGGGTGTTTCTTAAATGCTTCTAATTTAGTGTTAGTGACAAAAATAAAAAATATAAAAAATAATAATTAAAAAAAGCAAAACAGAGGAAGTATAATATTTTGATCAATTTTCCACATTTTAAATTTCTAATGCTTTCTTGGTCTGAAAGCATTTGTCCCCCCTCCCCCTTTTATCGTCTTGTTGCAGCCCGCGTGAAATAACTAATATATGTATGCGGCCCGCTTGAAACAACTTACATATGTATGCGGCCTAGCAGAAAAAAAGGTTGAGTACCCCTGCTCTAGGGGCTCGTCCCACAGTTTGAGAATTGCTGGAGTACACAGATCTTTTATGGGGGGGAGGGGGCTTATATTATTAAAATGTGTTGACGAAAATTCCGATTGGTAATATCTATTGCAAAAATTAAAACCTGTTTATCAATACGGGATTCACCTCCCCCAATCCCTTGTGTATTCTACTGTTTCTGTTAGTGATTTGTGGCAATGGGTTATCCGCGAGGTCTATCTTCTCTAAGTTGGGCTTACTTCCGACCCACCAAATGGGCACTTTGAGCTAGAACAACGCCTCACTGAAAATGAACGTCACTATCAAATAGTATATAAATACTCAGTGAGATAGATTATAATATAAAAGAGCATAGTTAAGACGTCATTACTTAGTTTCTGAATAATAATTTTGTAGCTACTTTGTGATACCCCCTGCCCGGGGGTATCATCTCTTCATCCAGCGACCTAGATTTCTAGGGATAAATGACTGACCACTTGAACCTTCCATAATAAATCTAGTTTATAATTATCTCAATATATATTAATCAATACAACACTAGGAAAATCAGATCAGGGATGATACGACGTAATTATTAATACTAAGTTAAATTAGTGTCTGAAATCCTACTCACTATCTTTGTGATAAATTAACCTCCAAATCTTTGTCTGTATCAGATTCCTTAATTAGCTAGAGTCCGCTCTATAGTTAAACTTTAATAATCAATCTCTTAACGATATCACACGGCGATCAGCAACTAAGCTTTATGTCTCCCTCTAATATTCAATGCCTTTAATATTAATCTTCCATATATATTATTATCCAACTTGATCCAGCTTCTCTTCAACTTTCTGGCTTCTAATCGACTTCTATATGGCTCCTATAATACTCTCCGGCCTCCAGACTTACTCGCGAATGCAAAAGTTCCAATATATATAATCATTCACTAATCTGCATATCGCGTTTTTTTCTTGAGAAGGTTGGATTGAAATGCCATTCTGGCCCCAAAGATTCCCCAAAAGTATTAGTTTAGAAGGCGTGATAAGGCCCCATCACACTTTGAAGTGACAGAATATCGGAGAATATGTTTTTCGGAAAGTTTGGGTAGTTGCATCTCATTTCTGATAAGTACTATATATAGTTGCTCTTAAACTTGTATTGTCTGAATATCGTGTAATAATTGCTAACGTTGAAATTAATAAAACGTAAATTGTTGCAAATATCTGTTTGCAATAATTTCGTGTCCGCTTTAATGGCTTCTCCATCCACGCTGCCTTTGAAACCCCTCGGGAACCTCAATAAACAGCAAGATTTCCAACTCAGCCAATATGAGGTGGTTGCTAGAAATTAAAATCCAGAAATTGGTAAAACGGTTATGAAGAAATAAAATGAAATATACAAACAAAAAGAGAGGAAATATATCCCCATTCAAATAATTGTAAATTAACACACAATATATAGTTAACTTTCATCTCCACTTTTTGAGAAAGGTAATGAAAAAATATTTTCACTGGTATGGGAAATAATAATAAATAGATTTAAAAGTAAAGTGAATGTCTTTTATAAGAAAGTTCGATTCACCACCAATTTGCAATTTTCTTCGTTTGTAAAATAGTATGTAACTTATTTTAAAATTATATGCTAGTAAATAAAGCAATATATAAAAATTATTCTTATTAAAATTGATTTACTAACGGTTTGAATCATTTCCGATTGTAAATAATTTAGTTTGCTTTGAATATTGTACAAAGTGGATGAGGTAGTACAATCATTATAGATGATACAAAATACCTCAGACACATTTCTCATAATTTTGCTAAAGAAAAGACAAATTTCATCTAATTGCTCGTATCTCATTTCGATGGAATTTAATAATCATCAAGAGATATCTAACTCTCTCAAGTAATAGTAAAGAAATGACGATCAATTAGTTATATACCACCCATTCAGTATGGTGGTTATCACTCTCGGCTTGTAATCGAGTGGACTCGGGTTCGAATCCCGAATATGGCAGGATGTAACTTTTAGAAAAGAAGTCGGACTTTTGGCCTAAAATGGATTTCCACCTCGAATAAATAGCAGCGCATCCCTGCTGTTATATGTTGGGATCATCATTTGTATAATAAAATCTATATTCAACTATGATTGTGTGGGTGCTGTGTTTCTGTTCATTTATCTTTCATATGTATCAGTGGATGAAAAGCACTCCAACCACAGCAATTAATTATAAGGTGACCAGTTTTTTTACAATGAAAAGGAGGACACACGCACGCGCAAAAGATTTAAGGTATCCGACTGCGTTCGGAACCCAGATTTTAAAAAAAGCGCATAAATGGATAATTTTCATATTTAGAGTCACTTAGATTAGAATACATGTGTAAAATTGTTTTAAGGACACATTTTGGCCAAAACATTATTTAAATACAATATTTCGGCAAAAAATGAACTGAGAATACCCTTTTTTAAAATGTTCTCCTTTTGTGAAAAATGCTTCTATTATAATAATATTTTGCCTATATAAAGCTCAGACCTCTGTACAGAGGCTCAACTATGATTTTTGAAAAATTCACATTATTTTCAGAGTTATAGCCCATTAAAATAATTATCAGTGTTTTTTTTTAAAAATTCTTCCCTCTTGCAAAACATGGATAAACCCACTTCTAAGTTATATATTTCAAAAGTTCTAGTTGAACCTCTGTACAAAGGTCTGAACTATATACAGGCAAAATATTATTATAATAGAAGCATTTTTCACAAAAGGAGAATATTTTGAAAATGGGTCATTCTATGTTCATTTTTTGTCAAAATATTGTACTGAAATAATTTTTTATTGTAATACTATTCTTAAAACAATTTTATATACATTTTCTCATCTAAGTGACACTAAATATCATAAATATTATCCATTTATACGCTTTTGCAAAATCACGGTTCCGAACGTAGTCGAATACCTTATAAGAAAAAGTTACAACGTAAATGTGTGAAACATTTTATTAATTAAAATAAAATACGCTAATTACGTTTGTATTCATCTTAATTATTTACTTTAGCGAGTATTTTTCCATTGAATGATTGTTTCGCCTACATATCATTTTCTAATGCATTGAAAATTTCGGAACAAAAAAATATCCTTCATGTTGAATTTTACGGTAAGTATTGCAGCTAAAATATCACCATTCAATCTTATTTCTCACTTTTCCTAAAACCATTTTTTTTGCAATTAAAAAAACTTTTTCGATTTTTGCATTAGCTCCAGGGCCGCACAACGTAAATTCGACAAGAATAACTAAATTTTCATATGGAAAGTGTTCATTTTTGAAATGGTTAAGTGTTTCCAGCCATCTTTTGTCAATTTCAACATGCTGATTTTCCAATTGTTCCATTTTATATTGGAATTTAAATATACATTCAGTGTTCTAATTTCTTCAAACAGACAATTGCATCGATTTTAATATCGAGCATTTCTTTCGATAAAAACTCAACTCAATTTTCTATATCTGCCCAATTTACTTGCGATGAAATAAAAAAATACCATTGAAAACTGTTATTTCCTGTGCTATTTGTTTCAGACCATTCTTCGATATATTGGAAACATGTTTGGTTCATCTCTGAATAGAGATTAACAAATCAGTTTTAAATTATTGAAAAGGAAGACACAAAAGTAGGAGGACACTTTTCGAGGAAGGACAGATTCTATAAAAGGAGGACGGTTGGTCACTTTATTAATTATAAGTTAGCGTTGTAAAGAAGACAAAGGCACACATGAATGGGGGAAAGGGGGCATCTATGCCCGAGAACAACATCTTATGGGGAGGCACCGAACTGATTTTAAATAATGATGACTGAATTTAAAAATGAAATATTTTTAATTCCTTGAATTTGAAAAAATAATTTCTGCATTAACTTTTATTAGATTCTTGAATCTGTCATTTTCATTAATCAGTTATATCTTCGAAGTATAATTGTTGTGTCTAAATTATCTTAATTTTTTAGGAATCTATTCTACCTAATAATTTTACACCAATTTCAAATTTTCATGTTTTAAGGTATCCGACTACGTTCGGAACCGTGATTTTAAAAAAGCGCATAAATGGATAATTTTCATGATATTTAGTGTCACTCAGATTAGAATACATGCATAAAATTATTTTAATGACGTTTTGACAAAAAAATTATTTAAATACAATATTTTGGCAAAAAATTAATCTAAATTAATCTTTTTTCAAAATGTTCTCCTTTTGTGAAAAATGCTTCAATTATAATAATATTTTGCCTGTATATAGTTCAGACCTCTCTACAGAGGCTCAACTAGAGTTTTTGAAAAATTCCCATTATTTTCAGAGTTACCACCAATTGAAAAAAATCTTGGAATTTATTCTTAAAATTGCTCTCCTCTGTTGTCGTAAAATTTGGATAAACCCACTTTTAAGTTATATATTTCAAAAACTCTAGTTGAGCCTCTGTAGCTATATACAGGCAAAATATTATAACAAAAGCATTTTTCACAAAAGGGGAACATTTTGAATAACAATTATTCTAAGTTAATTTTTTGTCAAAATATTGTATTTAAGTAATTTTTTTTGTCAAAATGTCTTAAAACAATTTTATACGTGCATTCTAATCTAAGTGACACTAAATATCATAAAAATTATCCATTTATGCTCTTTTGCAAAGCCACGGTTCCGAACGTAGTCGGATACCTTAAAACTCGAGCTACCAGTGAAGCATGGCAAACCCAATGATTCACATCTTGTTAAAGGGATGCGCGAAAACTATCTTTGTTTCCCTACTTGGAAAATCGTAGCTTCACTTCTGAAAGACGATGGGATGAAAACAACATAGTTTTCCCACACTTGTACATAAAATAAACCATGGGAATATTTCGATTTGTTATGTTTCTTTTATTTTAACCTAATGTTCTCTCCTGAATCTACTTGAATATTAGGTAAGATTGTTTTGACTAGAGCTTTTCCTTTGCTCACGCCTTCACTGAAATTCTTAGAACCTGTTTAGGAATGTTTTGCTTTTGGTCTGGATACTGAAAGCAATTCTAGAATCACTAGTTATGATTCTCTTAGAAATGGAGGAGGGGTTCGTTATCAAAATATGCAATAAATAAATACAAATAATAATTTAAAAAATTAAAAAATTTTTAAAGAATTTTTTCTGAAAAGTTTGTACGAAATACATATTATGCGGAGAAAAAAAAATATATATTAAGGAATATAAACACATAACTATATTTTGTTAAAACGTGCTTTTACTAAAAGAGCAGGTATCGATTTCACCCCAAATTATAAAAATAGATTTGTAAATCTTTCTTTGAGATAGTCTAACAAAAAGAATTCATCAAATCAAAACAATAATAATAATAATAATAAAAACCCTGTTTTTTCCCCTTATAATTTGGAAATTGGACACTCTCTTAATTACGGTAATTTAGTAAGTTCTAAAATCAAACGTGGTTTACAATACAATAATTGTTCCATATATTTATACAATTTCCTCAATATATGTTTAGCAATACAATATATGCTATACAATATATGTTTAACTACTGATATCTCACAATGAAATTAACTCTTTGTTAAATACATATTTTACAAATTTATTTAATTATACACTTCAAACTTTGAGACCTATTTAAGGTATCCGCGACTACGTTCGGAACCGTGATTTTGCAAAAGTGTATAAATGGATAATATTTATGATATATATTTAGTGTCACTTAGTTTTAAAAAAATGTATACAAAAAATTTTTTTTAAGAATAGTATTACAAAAAAAATTAAAAAGGCAAAAATTTTTGACAAAAATGAACATGGGAAACCCATTTTCAAAATATTCTTTTTTTTTTGTAAAAAAATGTTTCTTTTACAAAATAGTTTGCCTGTTTATAGCTCAGACTTGTACAGAGGCCCCAACTGAAATTTTGAAATAAAATAACTTAGAAGTGGGTTTATTCATGTTTTACGACAAAGAGGGAAAAATTTTTAAAAAAAAAAAACGCCGATAATTATTTCAAGGGGTTTTAAACTCTTAAAATAATGTTTTATTTTTCAAAATTTCAAGCCCAGACTCTTTTGGGAGAAGTCTTTACTTTAAATAAGCAAAAAAATATTATTATTTTAGAAGCATTTTTCACAAAAGGAGAACATTTTGAAAAAAGATTATTCTAAGTTTTTTTGGCCGAAATATTGCATTTAAATCATTTTTTTTTGTCAAACTATCCTTAAAACAATTTTATACATGTATTCTAATCTAAGAGACATTAAATATAAAAATTATCAATTTATGCGCTTTTTTAAAATCACGGCTCCGAACGTAGTCGGATACCTTAAACGGATTTACACTGATGGTGAATTTTGAATTTGTTTGTGGAAAGGATAAAATGTAATGTTGGTACAATTTTATGGCTTTAAATATCAACATGTTTGATGCAGTGCAATAAAAATAGTAAAAAATGAATTATAAATTTGAAGAAAAATTAGACAATATTGCTGTTAATGATATTTTCTTTTAATTTTTTATAATGTATTCTGCTTGCTAACGATATTCGAAAGCTGTATTCCATTTAAGACAAACTAGAGTTGCTTCTTTTTTTAAAATTATTTCAATAAAGCTTTAATTGGAATTATTTTAAAGTGTACATTCTTAATATAGTTTTAATAGAGTTAACAATGGCTTCTATATTTTAAACTCATATAAAAAGATGTGAATTATTAAAAAATAGCCTTCAAATAACAAACAACCAACAATCTCATATTTTTGTAGGTTGTTTTTTAGTCTAAGCAAAACTGAAAAAAAAAAAACAGACTACTAATTGTATTTTTTAAAAATAATATGTAAATCTTCTCCATGTACATTTTTCGCATAACTTTAGAATAATAATGGAATTTTACAGAGTTAAAATTTTAACTTTAATACTAAACATTTAAGTATCATATGAAAATAATTAAAAACAATTACCGAGAAACTGTTTGTCACTTCTTGTGATTGACCAAAAGATACAATA